CCTTCCCAGTCTTGAGTTAAAAGCCCCAAATGTCACTGTTCCAAGGGATAGAGGTTGGGTAGTACCAAGAGGCAGGTAGGGCGTGATGCTTTTTGGCCCTATGGTTCCTGCTCGAGGGCAGAGACTGGGGGTGCTGAGAACTCTAGTACTGGGAGCAGGAAACTACCTGGACTGAGGTTGAAAAGTGGTGGCCCTCAGGCCACATATGACCCACTGACTTAGTTTTTGGCCTGGAAACAGCTAGAGAAAATTTGGAGCCAATATTTAAAATTCAAAAATATTATAGTAAATTAGAGAATTCTGACTTTTCTCAAATAATTGGAACATCTGACCATACTGACTGACTGCCCATCTTTGGGTTACAACACCCAGTGGGCACTGAGTAGCAGCTGTCCCCATTACTATTTTATTTTATTAATAGACAAATATATTCATATGATTAAAAAAAATCGTAAGTAGGCAAGTAATGACATTTCTCGCCCATCCTTATCCCCTTCTGCCCAATACCCCTTTGGGAATCTCTTATTTTCCTATGTAAATATCAAAGGTTTCTTCATGCATATATAAACATACAAAAATAGATTTTTTTTTTAAATCCTTGGAGCTTGACCCCAGGGATGCTCTATGATTGAGCTACATCCCAAACTGTTTTTTTTTTTTTAATTGTTTAATTTGAGACAGGGACTTGCTACAGACCCCACGCAAGATTCACATTTGCAATCTTCCTGCCTCAGATTCTTTTGTGCTAGAATGAAAGGTCTGGGCCAACATACCCAACTTAAAATAGAGATTATTGGTAGGTTTCAGAGACAACAGCGATGGCGGCAGAGGCGGCACAGCAGAGAAGCAGAAATAGGGGGAGGGGTAAGCCTTTATTAACTCTAAACACACGGAGAAGACCCAGGGCAGGGAAATGGGCAGGTCTTCTGACCTGAGACAGGGAGCCTGAGGTTTTATGGGCTTTTTCTAGGGGCAGAGCTTGAGGGGCGGGTTTAGTGATGTGTAAGGAGCTGATTGGAGGCTCCCTTGTGTGGGCAGGAAAGGTCACAGGAAGTTGTACCCAGGGCTGGAGTGGGGAGGAAGTGGTCATTGGGAAGATAAACTGTTGTTTTAAGGGCGTCAGCTGTATCAGAAGACCACCATAATAATTCAGCAATTCTTACTAAGACCATAACCTATCAGTTATGCTCTACCTGGCCTAACTCCTCTCTCTCTCTCTCTCTCTCTCTCTCTCTCTCTCTCTCTCTTCTAGGGAAGGGTCTACAGGGTGTTCAGGGTTTTACTACTAGATCGGACTCATAATGATCTGCCTGTTTACAGCCTCCCAAGAGCTGGGATTACATGCATGCGCCACCACATCCAGTCTCAATCGCTGTCTGCATGCCCCAGGGACGAGGCTGGCACTGCAGGCCCAGAGATCGATCCCTCAGCCCCTGCACCTGCTTGCAGGTGCTTTAATCTACTGAGCTATTTGGCTGGTCCTCCCTTCTCTTCCCTGCAAAGGCCTTTCTGTATTAGGACACAGAGTGCTTACTGCTTCAGGCCCTTCTGTTATCTGGGGGTCTATGGTTTTCTCAGCCAGTCTCCTGATGGGCATCTGAGTCATTCCTAAGGTTGTTGTTATAAACAGTGAAATAGTAATTGTCTTATGCAGAGTTTGCATGGGTACAAATATTTCAGTAGGAGCTAAAGAAAAATGATTGAAAACTGGTCCAAGGTGAGGGTGCAGCAGGCAAGGGCTGAGCTCTCAGTGGGATTCCACGGTGTGGCTATGTAAGGAAAGGTGAGAAGGATGGTCTCAAAGTGATCTCCAGTGTAGTCCAGGCACTCACCTGGGGAGTAGGCAAAGGTTTCCAGCTTTGCTTGCCACTTGGGGCTCAGTGTCTTGGTCTATAAAATAAGAGGAGCTTAAGGAGCTAGATGAGCTCTCAAATGGCCTGTCCAGTTTCAACTAGCTGTGGCCCCCTTCTCCCTCTATGCAAGACAGACACAGCCTCTCTTAGTCCTTTTCAAAAATTTAGACAGAGCCTCACTCTGTAATCCAGCTGACCTTGAAATGAACTCATGATCCTCATGTCTCAGCCTCCGGTGCTGGGATTATAGGTGTGCACCACCACACTCAACTTTCTCAGTTCCACCAAAGAGACATTGCCCAAGCTGTCCTTACCCCTCACTTCTGGAATACCACCCATACATCCTGCTCCAATCAGATTGCTAAGCTCACAGATCACTCGAACATGGCAGTCCAAACTCCTTCAGGGCAGTCTCCTCTGCAGTACCCCCAAGAGGTAAGCCACCCCTTTACCTAATGCACACTTCAGATGGACCATCAAATCCTTTTTCAACGCCATTTCCTCTAGCCACTTAAACTCTGGTAGAGAGTTCTTGAATGCCAGCTCTGCTACTTCCTGACAAGTGAGCTTGTGACAGCACTTCCTTTGTGCTCAGTTTCTACCCCCAAAATGGCTGGCTTGAGGATACGCACGGCACTACCACTAAAATTCTTAGTATAGCTGCTGACACTCTGATGGGCTTAATGGTTTTGTAAATCATTGCCCCTATCTGAGTATTTACCTTCATAATTGAGGAGAATAATGGAACCTATATTGGAGGTCATTCATTCATTCAGTGATTGTTATAGAGTACCTCCTTAGTGCCAGACACAGAACTAAGAGATGTGGTGAAGACAATAGATGCCTCAATCCAACCTTCATAGAACTCCCAGGCAATTCCAAACAAACATAAGAAGAAAAATTCTCAGTGCTTTGACATAAAGAGGGAAAAGACTAGGGTGTTGGGGACCTCATAATAGGTGACTGTCAAGAAGACTTCTTTAGGGTTGGGAGATAGCTCAGTAGGATAAGCACTTGCCTTGCAAGTGCAAGGGCCTGAGTTCAATCCCCGGTTCTGGGGGGGGGGGGAAAGACTTCTTTAGGGATGGGGAACAGGGCACAGCTGGTAGGAGATCCAGGAGGGGTCCTTGTGGGAAAAATCATCACACTTATTAATTCTCTACAACTGCCCTCACAACAGCTCTAAGAAGAAGGCATTGGTTTTGTCCCATTTTACTTTTCTCTATAGCTAAGAGAAATTAGGTGACTTACCCAAATGTCATAGAGGCATAAAGAGCTGGGTGGGTTTCAAATCCAGACTTCCTGGCTCCAGAGTATCAGACCTGAAAACTTGTCTTCTCTGTGTGCCTTCCATATGTTGCCCTGCCTAAGGTCATAGAAGAGAAAAGCACAGAGATGCTCCTTTCTGAATCTGGAATTCAGACTTCTAGACCAATGGATCCTTCCTCTAGGGATACTTTCATGGGTTGTCACCTTGAATCCAGTCTGAAAAACTCCTTTAGTCCCTAATTTTCCCCCCTGTTTGCAGTTTTAGGCAACAGATGATACCCAGACCTTCTAAGCATTACTGAGACCAAAACAGTCACTGGACATGAAGGAGATGCCAGGCTGCAAGACTGCAGATGGCTGCTCCTTCCTGGCCCAGGGCAACTTAGCCTTCCTCTCCCTTCCCACCACTCTGAGGCAGACTGTCCTATCTCCTTTTTTCTCTTCTCTTCACCTTCCCTTGAAAAGTACCAAAGCTTACTCTGGAGCCAGATGAGGGACTTGAATTTGGCTCTAATACTCACTGCATGGTTCAACCAATTAATTCACTTTTTGGAGGACTCAGTTTCTTCATCTGTACAACAGGGGAGAGAAATGTGAACAATCTCACACATTTTGAGAATAAAGGGCTGGGGAGATAGCTCAGTAGAGTAAGTGCTTGCCTGGCAAGCACAAGGGCCTGAGTTCAATCCCCGGTTCTGCCAAAAAAAAAAAAAGAAGAAGAAAGAAGAGAACAAGAATAAAGTAAGTTAATAATTGTGCAGTGCTTAGAACAGCGACAGTCAAAGAGTGTGTATTAAAAAATATCTTGGAATATTTGATCCAAGCTGCGGGGTATGACCTAGGTGTACCCAAGACATGTGAGGGACTCTACTTCCTTTCTTGGATCACTGTTTTAATCTGTCTCTGGTCTCTTCAGCCCAGGCTGCTTTTCTGTGATCATGTTTCTACTCTAAACTGCTGATCTTCTTTCTAAACCATAACGTGTCCGATGCCCAAATTCTGCAACAATTCCTCAGCGCATGCTGGATAAAAGCCACCTATTGGCCCCTCAGGATCTCGCTTAGAACTCTCCAGCTACGCTCCCTCCACCCCCCATCTGTGATCTAGATTTCTTGGAATAACATGCCTTCTAGTTTTGGGTGCTTGCTTTCCCCTCTTGTTGGTGTTTCCTCCCAGTCCCTCCCCTCTTGGGGTTGCCCTCTTCTCTACCTGAGCTGAGGCCGGATGAAGGCGGGGTGGGGGTGGTGAGACAACAACTGTCTCAGCTGCCTTTTTCTCAGCCTCCTAACGGAAGACAATAAGAAAGGTGGCTTCTCAAGATCAAAGGAGGGAGTGTAGCAATACGTGAACACTCAGAAAACTAGAAAGTAGCGCGTTAGCGCAGAGTGATTGTTAAAAGGTTATTGGGGGTCCCGCCCAAGCAGCTGATCCCCCAACCCCTTTATTCCAAAACCCTGGCTTCCCACGCAGGTCGCTTTAACAGGGTAGGTGAACAAATGAAGAAGGGAGGGTGGGGAGTGGAACATAAAGAAGTGGAGTTCAGGAGGCAGGCGAGAGAGGAAAGAATGAGGTTGAGGCCCCACGCTTCTAAGGAAGGCGTGAGGGTGACCTGGGATGCTGTCCCCTCGCTGTCCCTCTTCCCTTCCCTGGCCGGGCCACAGGCTGGGCGGGTCGGCGCCGAGAAGAATGAATCATTGAAAAGGGGAGAAAGAGGAAAAGAAGAAGGAGGAGGAAGAGAAAAAGGAGGAGGAGGAGAAGGGGAGGAGGAGGAGGAGGAGAAGGAGGAAGAGAAGGAGGAGGGAGCCGCCCGCGCAGGGTCCTCCCCGCCCCGCACCCCTCCGCCGCCCGGAAGTCGCTCCCGCCTCCTGCTCCGCCAACATGGCCGCGAAGTCGGATGGAGCGGCGGCCGCGGCCGGCCCGGGGCCCGAGGGGGCGGCCGGGGGTGCCCGAGGCGGCTCCAGCGGGCGCGAGGAGGCGGCGGCGGTGCCCGGAGGCCCGGAGGTGGCCGCGACGGGAGGCGCGGGGCCGCGCTACGAGCTGCGGGACTGCTGCTGGGTGCTGTGCGCGCTGCTCGTGTTCTTCTCCGACGGCGCCACGGACCTGTGGCTGGCGGCCTCCTACTACCTGCAGGGTCAGCCCACCGTCTTCGGGCTCACGTTGCTCTTCGTGCTCCTGCCCTCTCTGGTGGTGCAGCTGCTCAGCTTCCGCTGGTTCGTCTACGACTACTCCGAGCCCGCGGGGGCCCCAGGACCCGCTGTCAGCACCAAGGACAGCGATACTGATGGCCCCGCTGTCAGCACCAAGGACAGCGCTATCTCCTTTAGGACTGAGGAAGGCGGTCCCGAGCTGGGTGCCCGGCCTTCCTCTGCCAGCACCTACCGTCGCCGCTGTTGCCGCCTCTGCATCTGGCTACTGCAGACCCTCGTCCACCTCCTGCAGCTTGGCCAGGTCTGGAGGTAGGAGAAAAGCCGGTGGAGGGAGCATAGTCGGAGGAGTGAGAGTGACAAGGAGTTGCCTGTCACCCCAGCCCTTCTCTGACTTTTCCAGGACCCCCTCCTGTCCTGACCTCCACCCACCCCACCCTACTGCAGTTCTTATTCTTTTCAGTCAGGTCCTTATGATCCCCCCCAACCTACCCAACCCAAAGGGAGGGGATGGACCAAGAAGTGAGAGGTAAAGATTCTCCTTGGTTTGTGTGAGTAAGGAGGACCCAGGGCTCGTGAGGATAAGTGTGAGGCTTGGAACAGGTACACAGAGCTTTCTCCAACCCTGACCCTCCCTCTCTGTCTGTCTGCCAAGCCTGAACTTAGGAAAGAGCTTAGAAATCCTTCCTTGCTCTTCAAGAAGCTCAGTTTGGAACTGCAGCCCATTCCCAACCTCCCAAAGAGAGACAGAATTTGAGGCAGCAAAGTGACTATCCGACCTAACTTCTTCAGCTTTTTGAGAAAGGGTGTGCTGGACCCAGCTAGGAAGCTTCTCTGTTTCTTTCAAAGCCTCCTCCTCCAAAAGGGCCAATGGGACTTGGAGTTTTGAATCTGGTATTAGATGGTCACTAGCTGCCCTTTAATCCTAGGATGGTACAGCAAGCAGGCTTTGTTCAAGCTGCTCACTTCCAGGTTTCTTTCTCTGCCAGGACTGAGGGTGCCTGCTGTGCGGAGTTAATTGGAGAGGGGGGAATTCTAAACCTAGGGCTCCTCTTGAATCTGAATTGCTATAGTACTTTGAGCTCTACTATACAGTGACAAAATGAAATTACTTACTATATGATTGTAGGCAAACCTTCTTCTCCCACATTTATGTATTCAGCTGTAAAATGAGAGAGGCTCTCTATTCTCATCTCATTGGTTTAACAGTACATTTTTCTTACCTATTGGGATGGTCAGGAGACAGAAGGGCTGTACAATGACCCTGCAGACTGGGACATATTTTGGAACAGTACTGTATTATGATGATTATAACAGATGTGGGGAAGCATGGAAAAATTCACTCCAGAGATATAATGGGTGATCATTATTATTGTTATATTTATTCTGCTACGTGTTAAGCAGTCTGTCGAACTCAGAAGATCCAGTTCTGGGTTGAGGGTTAGAAAAAGCACATCCAGGTTTTGTCCCAACTGCTCACTTGCTGTGTGTTATTGGTTCTCCTTCTGCCTTGGTTTCCTCATTTATGCCTGTCCAGATGATGTACGTTTTCTATTTAGCTTGCCCTGTACAGAAAAGGAGTGGAGCACTATCCACATAAGGTAGTATTATTCTTATTAGCTTGACACATAAAGTGTTCATATCTACATCCAGGAACTAATCTGCATTTATCATTCTGTGCCAGAGTGGACAGATGGTGAAAGGTATTTTTAGATTCTGAAATGGTAACTTCCTATTCTTGGTAGCCAAAGCTTCACCCCCTTTCCCTCCAGCCTAAAGTGGGCCAACTGCCCCATGACTCACTGGCTACCCTCCTCCCCATTCAGAGTCCACTTACAAGAAGCTAATAGCTAATAGGTCTCTTCATTCTTGAACACAGACCGAGTTTCCCTCAAGTAGGGCAGATAATGACCAGAGGCAGGGAGTCCCAAGAGGAGTGGCTGGAAATGGCTAAGAGTACACCAAGTTCCATGTTTTCTTAGATAAAAGCAATTTCCACAATTTTTCCATTTGTCAAGTAGAAGGCTGAGGATGAGAAGATTTTGCAGGAATACCAATCTGATGATTATGAGTGGAATCTAACCTATGGAAATATATTGTGTAGTTTGTATAATATTTTTTATACCCAGAGTCCTAGGTTGTTTTGGGGGAAAAAGTTATCTCTAGAAGTCTCAGGCATGGGACAGCCTAGACTGAATGTGTATGTACAGTAGGTCATTCTATTTCCTCTGGTTATACCTGGACCATTCTCTTGGGCACTCAGTCATGAAACCCTAATTTGCAGTTCTATAACAATGATTTCATTAAGCACTCACTTTGTGCCAAGCCTACTGGTTGCCATTTTACTTGCTTTACCTCCTGCACCCCTCCTAGTGAGCCTGTCATATAGCTAGTATTATAATTTGTACTTGAAAGATGAGGGAATGGAAGCTAAGAGAGGGGCATCCTTGCCCAAGGTCACACAGCAAAGAACTGGAAGACCAGGATTCAAGAGTCTCTACCTTCAAAATCTGAGTTCAGTTTATCCACCTTGCAGTTCTGCCACTATAGTGTCCCTCCCACAAGCTCGAAGAATTATGAGTCTGAGATTCCAAGATTCCAGGATGATGGAAAGTCAAGCTTCTGTTGCACTGAGATAAGACTGTGAAAAGGGGGAGGGAGGTAGACCACATAGCTAAGGATAAGGAAATGGTGTGTATTGTGGAGAAAGTGCTGGGTTGCAGAGGTACTTTTGAGAAGCTTGCATCTTTATCTTGGTTTGTAAGTATCCTTGAGCTGGAGTTTCCACATCTGGCCTTCAGTTTCTCTGTGTATGAAGTAAGATTATAATCCGCCCTTAAAGGGTGGATTATGCCTTTCTGGTGCCTCATCATGTCCTTCTATGCTGCTGGGAACCCAGCTGCTGCTTGGAACAGGTTAGGGTCATCTAGCTTTGGGAGCCTCCCTCAAATACCCCTTCCACATCTAAGGTGCAGCACTGCTCCCTCTATCACCTCCAGAGAGGTTCTGAAATGAGACTGACCTACTGTGTTCTTCATGCCCTGCACAGGGTAGAGCTCACTCACTTAAAGAGAGGGGAGGGGCTGGGGTCTGCAGAGAGCTGGAAAGGAATTACCAACAGCTGACTGTTCTCTCTGACTTCAGATTCTGCCGTCAGGGAGAATTCAGGGAGATTTCATGGAAATAGCTACTAGAAGTAAAAAATCCACATTAGGTCATGCTAACTAATCTAGAATTCAGATTCTGGGTGTATTATGAGGGCTTATGTCATCAGACCCTTTGCCCATAGCTTTAGTTCTAAGTGGCTGAGAGGGGAAATCCAAACAAGGTACATAGAAGTCCCTGGGACTGTCATTCCTGGAAATTAAGCAATGTTGGCACAACATATTTGCTTTCCACATCAAGAAGCTTTTGTATAAGTTCTGAGTAGTGGGCCAGGGTAATGAGGAAGGAGATGCATATTGGAGCCCTGAAGGGTCAAATCTGAGTAGCTGGCCAGTCATTCACCTCCTAATCCCACACACCCAACTCTGAGTAAAATAATTTTAATCATGAAGATACTTTTCAACTCTATAGGTTTATGCACTACTGAGTCAAAAGGTAAATACTTTGAGGAGTCAGGTAGATAACACAGACATAGGTACATGGGGCATTCTACAAGGGGACATTGTGGGGACAAGTACTCTGGAAAAGAGGAGCCTAGCTACCCTGTCAGTGCCATTAGAAATGGAGGACCCAATCTTGTCAATTCTTGGTTTCTCAAGAGAAACAGGAAACCAGTATTTTTGTATGAACTTTCCCAATTTTCAGCTACTAATTAAGAGTATTAAAAATAATGTTAACCAAAAGAAATGCATTTGTGGGCCTTCTTTCTTTATAACCTCAGGCAACCTCTTCATAATTGGTAAGGCTCTTTTATGCAGAAGATGTTATTAAGCCAGGCATGGTGGCTCACACCTATAATTTCAGCTGAAGCAGGATTATGAGTTCAAGGCTAGACTGGGCACTTAAGCAAGATCCTGTCTCAAAAAAAAAAAAAAAAAGTTTGGGCAGGTACTGGATTCAATTCCCAGTACTAAAGGGGAAAAAATGTTATTACTTTAAATACAAAATGAGGAAATTCACAAACACTGCACACCTACCACATCCCAGAAGGCCCTGTGTGAAGTAATCCAGGCTTGCGATCTCATCTTGAAATTGTTCCTCTTCTGGCTATTGATACACCGATTTATCCAATAAAGCAGTGAAGTAGGTAACTTGTCCAAGTTCACATCTGAGTAAGTCGGGGAAAAGTGGTACCTACCCAGGCTTGTCTGATTTCCAAGCCAATTCTATTCCTGACACCACTAGATCTAACAGGGGATCTCAGAGCTATGTCTCTGTGCAGTGACAGATTGAGTCCCAGAGAAAGAGGCAGAGTGAGAGGAGAGCGAGAGTGTGAGAGCAAGAGCGAGAGAGAGAAAGAGAGAGAGAGAGAGAGAGAGAGAGAGAGAGAGAGAGAGAGAGAGAGAGAGAGAGATCTCATCCTGTTCTAAAGCAGATCATTAGGTAGGGCACAAATCTGGCTATGGGCTGGTCACCAGCCTGTGTCTTCATCCCATCCTCTGCCAATCCTCTGAGCTGTTAAGCCACTGAAGACTGTTAAGCCAATTAAAGTCCTCACCCTGTCTCCTCTGACCCTGTGGGCAGTGGAGCAGTAAGCCATGAATCCTGCTTTCCCTAATCTTGAACTCATGGGCCCAGCTTTGCCCAGATAAGCATGGTTTGCTAAGCCAATTAGTGTGAGAGACCTGGCATGGGATTCCTCCCAGGCTGTCAGGATCCAGGCACCTCAAATTGGAAAGGGAGCAGAGGGAGGCAATTGGACTTTGGGGGCCTCCCTCCAACACCCCACTCCCTCTGCCTGCTAGCAAACCCTGTACTGAAAAGGTTCTGAAACGAGTCAGGGACCTGTGGAAGTTTGGCTCTGGGTCTCCCCTGTGAGAAGCTACATTTTTGGCATTATGGCTAAGATCAGGAACTCTGAATTCAGATGATCTCAGTTCAGATCTTGGCTCTACTACTTCTTACACATGGCCTGACAAGCCACATAATCTCTCATTCTGTTCTGAAAGTAGGGACCATAATAGTATCTACTCACTGCTTGGATTATTTTTGGTTTAATGAGATCGTGTACACTAAGGATTTAACAATGGGCTGACTCCATCATTAAGCGTGCAAGAACTGATAGTGATGATTACCGCCATCACCCTGGGCTTTGTTCCCTGTGGAGCAAAGATTTGTTTCACAGAACACATGGACATGAGGTTGTA